TAATAAAAAGATAAGCTTGGGGTGGAGGCATTGTTGAAGCAGTAGAACACCTGCCAAGCAAATGCAAAACCCTAAATTCAAACCCCAGTACCACCAAAAAAAAATGGTAAGATCATCAAGAAGATATAATAATTACAACCATGCACATACCAGACAATAGTACTCCAAAAGATATGAAGCCAACTGCTATAGTGTTTCCCAATGTTCTTTGTACTAAATGCTTGGTCTCCGACATGGCACTGTTAGAAAGGTAAAACCTGTAATAGGTGGAGCCTAGAAATTCAAAAAGAACCTGAATAAAAGGGGAGGCATCAATCATATTCTGGATTGGAAGATTTAGAATTAGAAGATGGCAATATAATGCTATGCCAATAAAAATTCTGATTTTTTGAGAAATGGAAAAACTGATCTTCAAATTCATACAGAATTACAAAAACTCATGAATAGCCAAAATAATCTTGAAAAAGAAGAACAAAATTACAGGTTGCACATTTCCTTATTTTAAAACTTTCAAAGATTTAGTAATCAAAACAGCATGGTCCTGGCATAAGAATAGACATACAGATTGATGGAACAGAAATGAGAGTCATAAAAAATCATTCATCTATAACCAGTCAGGTTCCACAGGCTGCCAAGAACAAAATAGTCACTTCAACAAAATGGCGCTGGGACAAGGGATAGTCACATGAAAGAGAATGAAATTTAGACCATTAGCTCATGCCATATACAAAAATTAATTCAACAAGAATCATGATTTAAATGTAGGAACTGTAAAATTCATGAAGTAATAGAAGTAATCTTCATGACTGTGGATTGAGCAATGAATTATTAGAAACGACACCAAAAACACAGCAACAAATGAAAAGATGGATGGACTGAACTTCATTAAAGTCAAAAAAGTTTTCAAGTACCCAAATAACAAGACTATGTTAGATAAATTATCGCACTGAGCCTTTTTGAGTCTGTAGTCACCATCTCAGTCTTTCTTCAAGCATAATAAAGGAAAGAAAACTAAGGTTGGGGAGAGCTTAAAACTTTTTTGCAACAAATGACTTTATCAAAAAGTGAAAAAAAAATCTATAAAATTGAGAAAAATATTTTAAAATCATATATCTGATAAGGGTATCCATAATATGTAATAAACTGCTATAATTTAGTAAGAAAAAGACAAAAAAAACAGTTATAAAATGGGCAGTGGGCTTAAGTAGACATTTATTCAAAGGAGAGATAAAAAGGCCAACGTACAAGAAAATACACTCAACATCATTGCTGATTAGGGAAACGTGACTGAAAACCACAATGAGCCATCACTTCACACCCACTTAGATGACAATAATCAAAAACAAAAACCAGAAAGGAAAGTTGGTAGAGGGCATGGAGAAATCGTAAGCTTTTTTTTTGTTTATTCATATGTGCATACAATGCTTGGATCATTTTTCCCCCCTGCCCCCACCCCCTCCCTTACCACCCGCTCCGCCCCCTCCTTTTCCCCCCCACCCCCTCCATACCCGGCAGAAACTATTTTGCCCTTATCTCCAATTTTGTTGAAGAGAGAGTATAAGCAATAATAGGAAGGAACAAGGGTTTTTGCTGGTTGAGATAGGGATAGCTATACAGGGGGTTGACTCGCATTGATTTCCTATATGGGTGTGTTACCTTCTAGGTTAATTCTTTTTGATCTAACCTTTTCCCTAGTTCCTGGTCCCCTTCTCCTGTTGGCCTCAGTTGCTTTTAAGTTATCTGCTTTAGTTTCTCTGCATTGAGGGCAACAAATGCTAGCTAATTTTTTAGGTGTCTTATCTATCCTCATATCTCCCTTGTGTGCTCTCGCTTTTATCTTGTGATCAAAGTTCAATCTCCTTGTTGTGTTTGCCCTTTACCTAATGTCCACATATGAGGGAGAACATATGATTTTTGGTCTTTTGGGCCAGGCTAACCTCACTCAGAATGATATTCTCCAATTCCATCCATTTACCAGCGAATGATAACATTTCATTCTTCTTCGTGGCTGCATAAAATTCCATTGTGTATAGATACCACATTTTCTTGATCCATTCATCAGTAGTGGGGCATCTTGGCTGTTTCCATAACTTGGCTATTGTGAATAGTGCTGCAATAAACATGGGTGTGCAGGTGCCTCTGGAGTAATCTGTGTCACAGTCTTTTGGGTATATCCCCAAGAGAGGTATCGCTGGATCATATGGTAGATCTATGTTTAGATTTTGAAGAAGCCTCCAAATTTTTTTCCAGAGTGGTTGTACTAGTTTACATTCCCACCAACAGTATAAGAGGGTTCCTTTTTCTCCGCATCCTCGACAACACCTGTTGTTGGTGGTGTTGCTAATGATGGCTATTCTAACAGGGGTGAGGTGGAATCTTAGTGTGGTTTTAATTTGCATTTCCTTTATTGCTAGAGATGGTGAGCATTTTTTCATGTGTTTTTTGGCCATTTGAATTTCTTCTTTTGAGAAAGTTCTGTTTAGTTCACTTGCCCGTTTCTTTATCGGTTCATTAGTTTTGGGAGAATTTAGTTTTTTAAGTTCCCTATATATTCTGGTTATCAGTCCTTTGTCTGATGTGTAGCTGGCAAATATTTTCTCCCACTCTGTGGGTGTTCTCTTCAGTTTAGAGACCATTTCTTTTGTTGAGCAGAAGCTTTTTAGTTTTATAAAGTCCCATTTATCTATGCTATCTCTTAGTTGCTGTGCTGCTGGGGTTCCATTGAGAAAGTTCTTACCTATACCTACTAATTTCAGAGTAGAAATCATAAGCATTGTGCATTTCTGATAGGAAATGGTTTGGCCACTGTAAAAGCAGTTTGGAATCCTCAAAAAAATAAGCATATAAATTTAAACATAAGATCCAGCAATTTGGGGTTGACAGAGTGGCTCAAATTGTAAGAGTGCCTGCCTAGCAAATGTGAACTCCAGTGCCCAGGAAAAAATAATAATAATTCCACTTCCACTGGATATTTACCTCTAAAATATCGAAAGTACTCAAAAAATACTTGTACACAATAAGCAAGGATGGCAACAGTTGGAAATATCTGTGCACAGGTGAAGAGATAAGCAAATTGTGAGATACACATATCGTGGGACATTACTCAGCCATAAAATGGAATCCAGTACTGATTCGTGATACACAGCAAATGAATGTCAAAGACTACAGAAATAGCATTTCTCACTTATTTCACCAAAAGTTCAAAAGTATGATAAAACATTCTGTTAGTGAGACTAAAAAACACCCTTGGTCATGTGGCTGGTGGCAGTAAAACACAATGGTACAACCTTCATAGAGTCAAATTTGTCAATATCTAATATATGCCTTTACCCTTTTAACCAACAATCACACTTTTAATTTTTTGCCCTGATGTTATGCCTCCAAAAATACAGAAAACATGCACATGAGTGTCCACTGTCTCATTATCACTAATAGCAAAACTAGAAGCTACATAAGCACCCATATAACAGAGACTGCTATATGACTAAGATATGTGTACTTGTGGTACATTTGCAACTGGAAGAAAGGGGAAATTGCCAGGAACTTCTCTAGACTCATTTCCAGGATATATTGTTAAATCAAAACAATGAAGTTAAAGTAAGTATATTTGTGCAACAACAACAAAGAAAGGAAGCTGGATATGGCAGTACCTAGCTGTAATCCCAGCACTCAGGAGGCAGAGGTAGGAGGCATCACAAGTACAAGGTCAGCCTGAGCTACATAGCAAGATCCTGTCTCAAAAAATGGAGGCAAGGGGAGTTATGAATTCAATTAGCTAATTATTTTATCTTACACAAAATTTTCAAGAGAATTGATAAAGAAGAGCTGACCACATAGTCAGTGTAACTTTGCCACAAAACTGAGCAAGGACAGTATGAGAAAGGAAAGTTGTAGACCCAGTTTATTTATGACATAGATGTAAAATACAAATGGCCTTATCTTAGAAAACCAAATGCCATTCACTACATTTACATTAGAGGAGAAAATAATTTTATCTTAACATAGTTAGAAAAAGAGCAATAGAGATAATTTAATATAACTTAACGGAAACATTTCTTGTTATATTAGGAATGAAAGAGAACTTTTGAAGCCTGATGGAGGGTGCTTATGAACTTATGAACCTAAAATACAGACCATACTAAAATAAGACACTTAAACTTTTCTTTTAAATACAATATCAGGGCCGATCGTGTGACTCAAGTGGTAGAGCACCTGAGCACAAGGCCCTGAGTTCAAATCCCAGTACCACCAAACAGAAAAAAAAATAGATATCAGACAAGAATACAGACTATCTCCACTTCTACCCAGCAGTGCACTGGGCAGTACCTAGAGCATTAAAAATGACATGAAGTTTGAAGAGGAAAAGTATAACTTACTGTTTACAGATGAAAAGTTCTGAGAACACATCAAAATATTTATCATGAACAATGGGAGAATGGAGCAAGCTAACTAGTTATAGACCAAGACACAAAAGCCATTTTTCTTCCTTTAGCAACAAAAATAACTAAAAAGTTGTGATGCTACTTAAAATTTCATTTTAAGCATGCAAGCCTCTGGGAATAAATATAGCAAAGAGATACAGGGAAAATTATTTTAGAAATTTTTGAAGAGGAATAAATGAGGCCTGTATAGGAGTGGGAGTCTTGCTCAGAGGTAAAGCACTTGCCTAGCAGGCCCAAGGACCTGAGTCTCATTCCCAGTAACACTCACACACGTACACGCACACACGCACACACACACACACACACACACACACGTGTGTGCGATATAGTTAAGGTCAAGATTAGGGGGATGAGTGGATTTGGTAACATTACCTGGCCCTGTACTCGGCATAGCTGGGAGGTGCTTGGGTTTCTGCCAGGCCTTCTGTGATTGGAAGGAACACAGAGAAGACAATCACAGCAGGCGTCCATTGAGGCCTCTTCCTCTCTTCTCACAGCAGTACCTGGTCAAGCCCAGCCATTTTTGGCCAGGACTTAGCCAACCATCCTGCTGGTGCCATGACACATCTGCTGCCTCTCCATTTCCTGCTGGTGCTCAACCTAGCACCACAGCTGGTATCGGGGAGTCCCAAGCAGTACTTTCTGAGTAGGTGCTGGGTCTGAGCCCAGGGGAGGGAACTAGCCTCTGTAGAGAGAAGATCAGAGGGCAGACCATCCAGAATACTTCATGGGAAAATACAGTCATGTTCAAGAGCCCAATCTCTGTAGTCAGCAGAATCTAGATCTGAATCTCTGCTCTATTTACTTACTGCATGACCCTGGGCAAAGTGTTTTGGCCTCAGATTTTATCCTTAAAATAGATATAATGCTACTGAGGTAGTTGGGAGGAGAAACTAAAATGGTTGCTAGACCATGGTAAATACCCAATAAGTATTGTTACTGTAATATTATCGGCCTCATCTCCCCAATTAATCTTGCTATCCCTGATTCCTTCAGGGATGCTTGACCTCACTTTTCAAGCAATAAAACAGACAGGGAAATGAAGTTGGTAGAACTCCAGCTGGAATCTACATAACCTTGGCATTAGAGGATGTTTGGGGAGAAAGGAAAAAGAAGTCTTGCATTTTATTTTGCGTTTCAAAAATCCAAAATACTGCACAATTACCAGTAATTAGCATCTGTGGGATAGCATAGAGTCTTTCTCAATGACCTCCACTGCCTAGCTCAGCCTAATAAGAGTAGTAGAGCTGAATTTGACCAATACCAAATGAGAAGAGAACTATTATTCATTATGCATGCACTTTTTTGTGGGAGAGCATCTTCAGAATATTTGGGGCTCAGAGAAGAGATATGTCTGAAACTCATGTTTCTGGGGAGTCTGGGTCCTGCTTCAGAGAGGATATGTGTAGGACTGAGAGGGACCAAACAAGTTGCCAGGGAATGGGAGTATTTAGGGTAGAGTTAATTCAAGGACTAGAATTTGAGCAGAGAAACAAATATGCTTTCTGAAAGACTGGCAAGTGATGTGAGTGAAATCAAGACCAGACAGTAAGGCAGGAAGTGAAAACAACCAAAGCAACTTCTCTGAGACCCTTGGCTCAGGGACTCCCTTCCCACACTGCTCTGGTCAACTCCAGGTTCTTCAAACTGGAGGCTGGTTCCAATTTCTTGCGCTGCCCCCATGATATCAGATGGCTCGGAAGCCCAGAGTGTCTATTACTGATCTCGGCCAAATTGTCAATAGCTTGGACCTCAGCCTCCTTCAGCTCATCTCTGGAGCCATTGACTATCACCATTTTAGCCTTCACTTCTTTCTTCATTCATTCCTTTCAAATCATCATGATTTCCTATAGACTTCCCTTCTAATTGTACATATTTGCAGAGTGCTAAACCAACAGATAGGCAGTTGATGTCCCATCTATGATGTTGGTCCCAAAGAAAGGGCAAGTCACAAGGTTAAAAAAAAATGAGGACCTGGTGAGGCTTGGGGAAAAGAGTTAATGGGGCTCATTCTTACAGTCTTAGACTTTAGGAGCAGAGGAGATTGTGGGTTGCAGCCTTAAGGCAGGATCTCCTGGTAGAAGTTGGTCTTAGCTTTTGAAATGAATTACTTGACAGTGTCAACCTGAAAATGTTTATGCTTCCTTAACCATAAAAAGTGGAGGTGGGGTATGCTAGGCTCTGGGCTCCTGACCAGAGGATAAATGAGACACTGAATCTTTGTACCCCATTCTAAAATTCCACCCCCTTCTCACCATGAAAGAAACTAATCTCAGAACTCGCCTGTGAACAGAATTCTAGCTATGTGATCCAGCACCAAATTTACCTGCCACTTATTCTTCCTATACACGAATAGCCTGTCTTACATTGACCCTAAGTTAAATTGTTTTTAATGAAAGGCTGTAAGACTTTCTCAAGACTGCAAAATAAGTCAGTACAGAGTGGGTACATAATACCTTTTCATGTTTACCCTTGAAATGGACACAAATGGAGTCTACAGGGATTTGACATCTGACCTGCAAAGACGGTGAATAACCAGTGGGTTCAAGGTTCTGCCAAACTCTGTCTTTGATAAAATATGCCAGCCCTTGTCCCCTGCTCAGAGCTCAGAGGAAGAAATCAGCTGAAGACAGAACCTGATTCTGCTCCCTAGGGACCACACAAGGAGATGAGGGTAGCAGTTTCCCTGGGCTTTCTGAGCTTTGAATGTTACTCCATCCTGGTGTTTAAACCCTTTTTTTTTATATATTCTTTATTGCAGAGTATATCTTGGAACCTCCACCTTGCAGATTGAAACCTGAGAGCTGTTCCCAATTCTGTACCCAGCAGGAAGAATGCCCACAAGGACTTCAGTGCTGTTCTGCCTACTGTGGGATAATCTGTTCATTAAACAAGTTCCCAGCAACCAGAAAGTAAGGGACGTCTCATGCATACTCCTGACCCCAGAGCTACTGGTGGAAACCCAACAGCAGAATCTCTTACCAACCACTATGGTGACTCTTTTTCATTCCATCACTAGTGATGGTGCTATTGTTGCTATTGTTGTCATGTTGTCAACAACTTCTTTCTCTTTACCAAGGATAATTTCCATAAAACTCCTGATTAGAGGAACCCTCCTCCATTCCCAAACTACACTATCCTTCTCTCTCCATCACTACATTGTGACTCTGCCTTTCTGAACACACCCAAAAATACCTCTGCCCACAGACCTACCTCATCCCAGAGTCCACATTTATCCCCAAGCCTATCTGGACCACTGTATCTGGGGCTACAGGTGTCACTAATACCCCAAGCAAATTTGTTCTCTGTTTTTACTGGCCCTCCTTTAACTAAACATCATCTTTTGGCCCCCAGTGTTCTCGGGTTCTGGAGGTCCAGCTGGAGAGAGACATTGTGGTTAATGACCTAGACATTGGCACTAGCCCTGAGTCTGATTTTGTTGTGTAAATATGTCTTTCTATCGTCTCCAATAAGACAAGCCCTCTCTTTCTGCCTTCTTTTTACATGAATGAAATGAGGACTTTGTTCCTGCCATGCAAGGCCTGGCTAAATTGTCAGAAGACCCATAGCAGGAAACTCCACCAATGGCTTCTTGAGAGAAGCCTGACCACCAGTTCTCTGTTGTATTCCCTGCCGTGAGCAGAATGCCCAGCATATGAAACAATGTACAGAGTAATTAAGTATGGGCCCAGAGCCAAATACCTGGGCTCAAATCCTGGATTTACCACTTTTTTTGACAGCATTGAGGGTTTGAACTCAGGGCCTCGTGCTTGCTAACAGGCACTGTATCACTTGAGTCATGCCCTCAGAGCTTTTGTGACTGAGTTATCTTCCAGGTAGGGTCTTGCTTTCTGGCCTGTGGTTAGCCTTGAACTACTTCTTACCTATGCCTCCTGTGTATCTGGGATTACAGATGTTCACTACCATACCATATCACTAACTTTTTGCCTCAGGGTGGCCTCAAACCAACTCCTGATCTCTACCTCCTAAGAGGCTAGGATTACAGACATGAGCCATCACACCCAGTCCTCTGACTGTATCCCTTGGAGCTGAAAGACCTCAGACAAATTAATTAACCTCTCTCTGGGCATCAACTTCCTTGTCATTAAAATGAGAATAACAGTGAATTGAAATAAAGAGTTCACGTAAGCTTTAAACATTGCTTGCCACATAATAGTTGCTCAGTAAATTTTAGTGATCATACAACCACTCTGCTCTCAAAAAAGACTGGCCTTTGCAATTAAACTCCACCTTTTTCAAGGTTCTGCTCTGGAATACAAAACAAACAAGGTGACTCTTCAATTCTTTGAGGCTCTGACTTCCATTTTGTTTCATGGTCTATTTTCAATGGTGGAAGTAATATAAAGTAAAAATTTTATCTCAAGAATGATCTTGCATCAGATAACATTTGAGAATGTTTTTCTTCTACAGAAACAAGCAGACAGGCTTCAGGAAACATCACACCTGACAACCGAGATATGTTCCCTGGAGCATTTTGTAAGTATAAGGTTCTCCTGATGTACCTACTGTGAGATCGCCCATGGACGCTCCTTTTCCTCTTCCAGACTCTCCAGAAACACCAATATTCTTGCAAAGCCAAAGTATCCTTTTGGATCAACAGATTGCCTCATCTTCCATTAGTCCCCTTCAGGTTCTGTCTTTGCATCCTGGGGAGGGATCCAGGGTGAGTTTTGCAACACAGAACAAGAAAAGAGACAGAGTCATGGCCCACAGGAGGCACAGAGCACCCAGATCTGGGGCTTTGCCAGGGAACAGCCTCTTCCAGTCTCCAGGTTGACAGTGCCCTGGGCAGAGGGTCAAACTGAGCCCTTCACACTCTGTGTGGCTTCGGATCGCTCACGTTATCTCTCTGAAATAGTCATCTCCCTCATGTGAAAGATAAAGAGAACACCCGTGCCTCAGAGCACTGTCAGGATTACACCAGGACCCATAGACGGAAGAACTTGGTCACTGCAAAGACTGCAAAGGTTAGAGGCCACCAGCAATTCCCACAATGACTCTGTGCTGTCTGATTCCAGATGTTTCCTCTTTAAAAAACAAAAAAAAAGGAGAGGGGGGTCAATTTTATTACTTTAGTAAGGCTACAAGAATGGCAACAAAATGGAGTCCCCTGTAATTCAACCACCAAAACAAAGACAGAGTTCATAATTGGGCAGCTTTTGCTTCAGAGTGTTTGGGAAAACTTAAGGGCTTAGAGTCTGCTAATGGTCTTTCTGATGTTACCCAAGTCTCTAAATTAGAATAGTGGTGTTTCAGTTTTGGAGTTCTTTCAATAACCTTGTACAAATAGCATGCTATATGAGAGCAGGTGGAGACCAGCACAGAAGTATAGGTGTATGAACACCATTTTCACCTTGTTCAGGCTTACTGAGCACAGCACATTTACTTTCTGGGGCACCTGGAGCAATACTGACTGCTCATGGCAAATCCCAGTCGTCCATCAGTAGTACATCAGCCTCGTTAGAGAATCCAGGGCTCATGCAGCAGGAAGAATCTGAAGCCATAGTAAGAACCCAGATGTTAGATCCAGGAAAAGGTTAAATAAAGGGGAATGTTTGTCTGTTCGCTCCATGTGTCCTCCTGCATCCATGCTCTGCCTCCCTGGACTGACCCACAGCATTGGCTGGGAGGGTGAAGTGAGGTAGAAGATATAATACTGGGAGGGGATCTAAGAAAATGATGAATGTGTTCCCAGAAAGCAAAGAGTTGCATTCTCTTAATGCCTCCTGGGATGAAAGACTGGACAGCCCAGGAAGGCCTCATTACAGTCCTCACTAAACTCTAGGCTCTGAAGAGTGTGATCAAGGGCTTCCGACTTTTTAATGTGACTAGCACGATAGGTCACAACAAGCTTCATTTCACTTACTCCTCACAGCTACCACAACACACAGTTCACAGACAAAGAACCTGAGGCGCACAGAGTAGAATGAATATGCTCGGCCTCAGTCAATTAATAGAACTAGAATCAAAACCCAAGGCTTAGGATGCCTGAAGATCTTTCTTCTTCCTAGGGCTCTCCATATAGGCAGCTCAGCTCACTTCTGTTGTGTGGGATTTCATCATTCTCTGTTTCCACTGAATTTTTCCATTTATTCTCTTCCCCCTGCCCACAACTCAGTCCTCATAACTCCTCATTCCCTTTCATACTCAGAAACTGCCCCACTAAACTTGATCTCTCTCCAAAGCTCATGCACTCTCTCCCCTCCCTGCTCTAGCCCTCACTCTTCTCTATACCCTGTCTTTCCCCAACTTCCCTGATGAACTCCTACTCAAGCTTCAAGTTTTGTGTTACAGTTTCTCCACAAAAAAGTTGGTGACTCTTTTTGTCTTTTCGTAGCATCCTATCTTTCCCTTACCATAAACCTTACCACTCTCTATGGTAATTATTTAAGTTATTATTTTCTCTGTCTGAAGCATGAGTCCCATAAAAGTAGAAACTGTGTCTAACTTCTTTGCCATAAAGCCCTAACACTCAGCAGAATGCCTTACACATAGTAAGGACACAATTCAGACTTTCAAATAGAGATGAAAAGATTACACCTAGTATTTGATGAGCTGTTCTCACAAAGAAAATCTTCATATAACTAGTCCAGAGTTCCTCAGATATCAACCAGTTGCCTTCTTTGCTTTCACATGTTAACATCGGCCTCATCTTCTAAACTGCTTTTTCAAACTAATTCATATTTTCTCATGAAAACTTATAATATACAGGAAAACAAACAAAAAGGAAGCTTGAGAGTAAGCACAGAACAAGGACAAATGCTTCTCTGAGACTCAGTGCAGCTCTGCCCTGCTGTTGTTGGGCATCTCCTAAGTCCTCAGAGCCCCAGTTTATAAAATTGAGAAGAAATAAGATGACACAACTTGCAAGGCTGCAAGGTTGCTAGCAGAGAACTTAAAAATGTTATTATTATTACTCATGTTTTGCCAATCCAATATTTATCCAAAAGTCTTGTTTTATAAAGGGATCACAGTGTGCATTCCACCATAAACTGATGGGTTGGTTGGTTTGTCAGTTGGTTTTTAATTTCTCTAGGTTCTGTATAAATTAACTCAAGTTGATAATGATAGGTGCAGTGTTCTCTGATCTTTGAAATGTCATCTTAAGAGGGAAAAAGGCATAGCTATGGAAAGTACTGCATCCTTAAAGAACATTGTGATTAAACCTCACAATAAGAGAAATGACCCAAGCCTTGTATGCACATGTGAATAATAAAAGAAGAAAAAAAACCTCACAATAAGGAATCAGCTAATTTAACATGATCTCTATTCCAGTGACTGTGAAAGACTGCCTCCTGCTGCAAATTCTATGTGAATGTTACCAACTTGAAATTTTGTGGTCACCTAGTCCCACAATTCTGCTTTTCTCTCAGTTGCACCCCCTCCAAAAGAGCCTTCCCAAGATAAATTTGTCACAAGTCAATTCTTACTCCTCTATTCTGTGATACCCTTCTAATCTGACCGACTTCCCTGGTGACCCCGGGCCAGAGCAGGAGGGACTGTCCAGAAAAATCTACAGTATCCTTTGCCACCAGAAACTGACCAGTGTGGTTCAAGTTGACCTGAGTAAGGCAGGTCTCTCACACACAAGTTGGCCCAATCAAAACACAGCCACCATTCTTTTAATAATTCAAGTTTAATCTGTCCAAGACTGTAAGCACTGGTCACTAGAGGCTACTTAAATGTAAATTTATCTTAATTAAAATAAAATATTCAATGAGTTTCTCAACCTCACCAATCATTTCAAGTGTTTAATAACCATAAGTAGCAAGTAGCCACTCCAGAAAGTTCTAATGTGAAGTATTTCTTTAGCTGTACAGAGCTGATGTCTACTAAATGATGACTAATTACAGACCATGATAACAGAGAAGTTTACAGAGGGTTTAGTATCATAG